CTCATAAATGGTTAGCAGAATAGCCATTACTTCACTGATTAAATCATCAGCTAACTATCAGGTTAACTAAAAAATTTAAAAATTAATGGAAACTTCATATTTCTGCTATGTAAAATCATCTCCATTCTGTTTTCAAGCTGCTGTGTGTTCTGATGAAGATCTGCTTTGTCTCTCAGGGCCTGTTGCCATGGAAGTGACTGAAATATTGTTAGTTAAGCAATAGCCCCTATTTTCTAAATAAATAAGCAGGTTCCTTCTGAAGAGGGCTTTAAATGGGCCTTGTGCTACTCTCAGGTGTGCATTGCACTTGTCAAATGCTTTTAAGCACAGAGCTCAGCTCTAAGCAAGCAGGTCACCTAACAGGAAGGACCAGCTAGAAGGTGTTGCCTTGCGTGGGCAGAAGGAACCTCAGGTTTCACACTTGACAGTATTTCCAGATCCGATCACATCAACCTTCATTTCTGCTGCTTACTGGCTAAGAACATTGAGAAGTGGAGAAACATTGCAGACACTAAGAAGTGGAGAAACAATGTACGTTTCAACTGAGGCCAAGCTTAAAGCCAGAAGTCCAGATGGATGGCATAGTCCCATGAACAAAAATAATGAAGCAAAAGCAGGCACAATATTCAAATGCCAAATCACTTTTGCCTGTATGATGGGAGTGTGATAATACTTTGTCTGTTTGGAGGAGACAGGGCAGGACCACCATACTGCAGAGGAGGAGGAGGTAAATCTGTATAATCTTCAAATTAATCCCTCAGGTTTTGGGGGAGAACTGCTAATTTTATGGTCCTGGACAAACCACATGGCCTGCACAACCAGGCTGTCTCAGATATTAGCTGTAGCTTATTCATGCTTATATATGGCAATATACTGTAGCATGCTAGAAAAAAGAGGCTGTATTCTGACAAAAAGCTTCTGTTTTAATGTATACATGACCTGATTTCCATTAATATGTAAAGATTTGGAGACCCTTTCTGTATCAGAAGCTTGTATTAGTATCTGGTATGAAATGACTACCACCACAGTACTACCAGTAGAGTGAAGATACAAAGTTCCTTAAAAGAAGTACCCAATAGAAAATTGTTTAACATTGGCCTTAGTGTTTAAAGGGGAAAGATCGTCCTCTTCCTAAATACAGTAAAACAATAATATATAATGACAATAATGAAATTATTTCATTTCAAACACAAATGACATTTGCAAGTGCCCTTCAGGGTGCAAAGTGCTGGAGCACAGATTCTATTGCACTTTAACTGTGCTGACACTGAGACAGGAGGCCCAGAGAAGCACACAAGCTATAATTTTGATCACTATGTAACTTCCAGATACAACATAAAGATCTTCTGGAATGAGAGTCCCATTGCAGAGCACCTGAATCTGACCCTGGATTTGCAGAAGATGTTATGCACTCCTGATTAGACAATGGGCAGATTTACTTCATGAGTAACATGCAATCTTAGTCTTTGAAGTGAAACCACCAGCTATCCAGATGAAAACAGTGACCCTGATGAAGGAGGCCCTCACCTTTTTGATAAAATAAGTTGGTAAAAGTAACTAGATCAAGTGTTAACCAAGAGTTTCGTAACAAACAGAAGATAGCAATTCATTAGGCAAAAAATCATATCTTTCTTAATTCTTAGACACCAGTTTTATAGAGTTTCAGATATTACAATTCAGAAAAGTCATCATTAATCTTTAGCTCATTTACCCATTGCTAGAAGCATGGTTAACCCAATAAATCCTTTCTGCCCCCTTGAATTTCAGAGTGCTATAAAAGCAATTATAGCAGAAATAGTTTCAAATTATGTCAAAACATGAATGAACTATAAAATCCCTGATCTATCCAGTACATAATTTTTTTGTGCTATTTAAGAAAAAAAAAAACAACAACAACAACAAACAAACAAACAAACAAAAAAAAACGTAGACGAAAACCCCAAGATACTAATTTATCTCCATTTAGGTATCTATTAATCACTGTTAGACCACAGAAATTGGTAACAGTAAGCCATTAAGGTGTAAATTCTGATGTCAAAACAAATCTGTACACTGGCAAAAGCTCCTGTGAAAATCTAAATCAATAAAAACTGATGGAACTGGTTCACTCTTGCAGTATAAGTACATATCCAAGAAAGCTCTACAAGGAAAAGCAGTCTATTTTGTTATTGTAATATCAGTTAGTTATAAAAAGATAGATGAAACCTCAGATTTTTCTACTCAGAAGTCAACTTTCTGTTTCAAGGAGACTGGGGTCTAATTCTGATGTTTCATGCAGGTGGTAAGAGAAATGTGATATAGCTGCACATAGGGGGTCTTCATAGCAGGACACAGCACTCCAGACCTTGCCGTGACACAGGTTATTATCTGAAGTGTGTTGAGGGATGTGGAGACAGAAAACACATTTACTGAACTGGAGCTGGTCCTGCCTCTCAGGCTGTCAGTAATGTTGATCCTGACAAGGCACTTGGCTATTTGCATCTTTTATATTTCCCCTTTTGACAACTATAGTAAAGATCTTTCCTCAATATTGCTACACATCAGTGTTTGCAGCTATCTGCTTTGCTCCTCTGCCAGGATTTTGTTACTGAGCAGTAGGAATAGCAGACCCAGACAGGAACCTGCATCTCTGCTACTCTAGTGCACAATCTGATACCTTACATCACTGGTGCAACAAGAGAGCACGGCAGTGTGGTCCTAACAGGCAGCTGAGGCACAAATATACATGAATGAAAGGCAGGGTAGGTAGGGACAGCAATATCTTAAATCTTAAATCACTTCAGTGAAAGATATCTGTTAAATAATTAAATTCATCACTCTGCTATCCGCATATATTTACCCAAAGTAAATACAATACACAAAATTATAATTCAAATGTTACATCAGAAAGTCCTTAAGTTATCCATCTTCCTAGATTGTTTTTATGAAAGCATTTATTAGGGTTCTCTTTTACATTACAAACATTATTTTTGCAGTTTTCATTAACGAAAGTTAGTTGCATATGATGTCATGCTGACTGTACACCATTACTTTTACACAACTAGCTAAAGAAATACTAACAGTAAAAAAGGGTTTCTCAGTCTTCCACTGGACACTTACATTTCTCTCTGCAAAGCAGAAAACATACAATCACTCAGTAAATTATCTTCTATTATGACAATAATGAATGACAAAAAAGCAGTATAAAATGAAGCTCAGCTATAATAATTCAAGAACATACCAGCTCCAGGGGTTATACAGAAATCCAGATAATCTGGAGCAGGGAACCTGTGTTTCCACAGGAGGTATACAAGAAGTTGTGGTGGAGAGAAGGAAGCCACTTCATTTGTGGGACATCGATAGCAGCTGATTTGCTCTTGGGCTCAGTCACTGTTGTAAGTCCCCTTTCCACCTACACAAGCAGGAAGGTTAAGAAGGACACTGGCCCGCATTTGGGCGAGGAGACACTGCTTGTTTAAGGAACCACCCCTTGGTAAGATGTCTTTTTTTTTTCCTTGCCCCACCCCCCCATACTTCAAATATTTTTAAGCCTTTAGAAATCTGAGTTCTGAAGAAACTGTTCTTTTCTCCTTTATTTATTTTTAATCGGTAATGAACTAACATGAGAACAGGACCTTTTATTAGCAAACTGAAGATCAGGGGTTTTTACTGAAGGTATTAGACACCATGAGATTTTTTGGCGCTTGTGCAGACTGAAGGTATTGTTTTAGTGTTGCTTTGGTTTCTTCTTCCCAACCTATTTTAATTGGCAATAAATTAATGTTCCATAAATCTTTTTAGCCCATAGAAGTACTGCTAAATGGTATCACTGTATCTTGACCCACAAGTTTCTCCATCTTTTCTTCCCTTGTCCTGTTGAGGAGGAGGAGAGAGAGAGTAGCCAAGTGAGCATCTGGCAGCCAAGCAAGGTCATTCCATCACAGAATGCAAGATTAAAACACAGCCTTTTGGAGAAGGAGTCCCCTGCCCCCATTATGTGCATTGTCTCTTCCTCTTGTTCAGTATAACAATAAGATTGTCACTCTACTTGCCCTGAAAAGCATCACCACTGCTATGTTTTGTGCCAGCAGTGACCAGTATCCAACATTCAGACTTTTTTTTTGTGTGTGTGTCTCTGATTATCTTAGGAATTGGTTTTCAAGGTATTTCATTGTTTTCAGCCTCGATAGCTTCTCCTGTTTGACCTCAGTTTACACTGAAATAATTACAGAAGTCTTTAATGCCTGAACATTGCCTAATAATTAAGCTGATTTAGATTTGCATATAATTTATTAATCACGCAGAAAGAAAGGTGGAGCTAATTACTTCATTTAAATTTTCCCTGCAGATGGAATAACCTGTCTTCCTTTATGGCTTCCATAAAAATACTATTCTTGGACTATTTCTATTATAATTCTGTGTCATTATAAGTCATTGATGGGCTTCAGTAGGATTTCTGAAATGAGTAATTTCACAGGCAGACAAACCAATAGACCAGGACACAAATCAAGAAGTTCAGATTCTAGCATCATCTCAGCTATCCCTTTCAATAAATGATTATTGCTGCATTTTGTGATGAAATACCTTATTTCTTCAGGACTTCTGTGTTTTGTTTTGGGATTTCTCTGCTTTAACTCAGTTCTTCAGAGTTAAATTGATTTTTTTGAGTTTTGCTGTAGTTTTTTAAAGGTCCTGATTTTTTTCCATAAAATTTAATTTATATATATATATATATATATATAAATGAAAAAAAAATGCTTTTACTTTTCTAACTCATACTCTTATCCATCATCCCCTTCATCTTTACAGTATATTTTTTAAATTGGTAGAGAAATGAGTATACACACAGAAGTCAGTACTTCTGATAAATTCAGCGAACTCTGGTAGAATTCCTAAAGGCTCACACTCTTCCAGACAGAGCTAATATTCTGTCTGGAACAGCTCCCAAAACAGGCATGTTTTAACAAGTACATTTACGATTAAGCTGAATTGTGAAATGAGAAGTATGTAGAACTGAAAGACTCCTGACAGGGTTTCAACTTTATTCAGAAATGGAAACAAACACAGACAGGTGCAAAATCCTCCTGGAATTTCCTGAGGCACAGTCCTATTTACAAAGAAGGAAGCCAGCCCTGCTGAACGCAGTGATCAGTTGTCCTTGTCTCCAGCCCCAGGAAGTGTGATGGGCAGCTGCCGGGCTTTCAGAGGGCATGGGGACTCCAGCAGCCTGCATGGTCCTCTGAGATGGGGTTTTGGATATCCGTGTCCAGATGCTGTCAGCAGGGGTGGTCCCTGTGAGATGAGGCCTGAGCAGCATGGTGGGTTTTTGCCAGCCAGCCAAGGAGAGCCCATCCCATGTGGACAGAGAACACTTCCTTTCCATGACAGACACTTCCTTTCCATTGTCCCCAGAGCCCAGCCCACCTGGCCCACAGGACAGCCAGAGCTGCAGATAGTTCCTTTCTTTTCCTGATGTGTTTTCCAGCACAGACGTCACGAGGATAAGCCTGTGGTTTGATCTTTCCATTACAAAGACATCCCAAGTCGCTATAGAAACAGACTATATGCCTTCAAAGGCCCTGCTTGGCAAAGCATGGTATCCTTGCTGTGAGAGAAGGTAGGAAGAAAAAGCTTTTCTCTATTAAAAATGCCTTCACCTTCACCTTGGTGAAGGTGATGCCAAACACATCAAACAGCTCTTTTGAAAGAGGCTTTTCCTCATGGTACAGTAAATAGGAGAATGTTTCCTTGCCCTCTTCTCCAGAGTCCATCCTAGGCAAGCAAGAGAGGATATAAGCATTCCCAGTGCCATATTATAATCAGGACACTGTGAGCTGTATAAGAACCAACAGGCTCAAGAGTAGGCTGGACAAATTTATGGGCTATAGCTATACCCAGAGTTATTAAATAAAAAGGCAACACTTCTGGTAGTGGAAGTACCTGAGCTAAATGGTGGAGAATGGAGAACATCTGCAGGGAGCACTAACAGATGCTCTCCATACTCATACCACTGCTGGAGACAGAATCCTAAGCTAAGAGGCCCGATAAAGATCTTCTTCAGCTCTTTTTATTGCCGCTGTTGAACAAAATATTTTCCAAATTTTGCTGAAGCTTGATAAAAGTCCTAAGAAAGTTTTTTTTTCTATGAATCAAGTTCTTTGCATAGCATTTCCCTCTTCTAGCTATAGTTACATGACTATTATGTCAATTTTCTGTTGTCATATTCACACAACTTGCTTTGAAGGGAGAATTAATAGAACAAGTCCAGTTGTCTCCTGGCAACTAATTTGTGCAGAGAAAATAAGCCTTTTTAACACAGAGGTTCCATTTAGATCAAGTGCACTTTTTGAGGTTCAGAAAAGCATTTGAGAAAAATATTACAGCACAGGAGACACCTCTGCTAGTTATGCGACACTCTCCTTTTGTTTTCCAGGTCAGGATTGAATGATTCAGAAGGAATAGCTTCAGACAGCAGCATTTAATCTACTTTTTGGACTGCATAATAAAAGTGTGACACCCAGAAATGATGGATAGAAACTCTTGTCTGTCTAGATAAATAGTTGATTCTAACTGCCTTTCCTCTGTATCATTGTACCATTACATGGATCAAGATCAGAAAAGTTAGAATTTTTCTCATTTTATGAATGTAATTTTGTCAAAATTATATTCTGTGGGTTTTAAACTACTAATTGAATATGCACAGTCATAAAAATGTTCGAAAAGAAATAATGAAAGTCATATATTTTTACCTTTTTTTACCATTTTATCATTGCATTTTACTATTTCCCAGTTCTACATAAAATTTAGTAATTCATTCCATAATCAGATTACCCAGTTAGAAGATGCAGTGTTTGTATTAATTGCAGAAGAATACAGAACACAATGAATGTTTTCAGGCTTCTAGAAGCACTGAGATGACCATAAAATGCTCAGATTTAAACAGCACATTGACACAGTGCTTCTAATGATTTTTTATCTTATTATTTTTCCTTTTTTGTGAACTTCATAACTTTTCCAAAGTTGCCTGGAAAATGGAAGAGACTAAGAAAACTACCTTATCTCTGTTAAGATGCTGTCTGCACCAGCACATTCAGTCATAATAAGTTCTCAACCTGAAAATTTGGACTCATTGCTGTGATACCAAATATAATTTTGTGATCAGTTTGGACAAGGACCTATCTGTCACTGACTGACCTCCCATCAGCTGCCCATTGCTAAAGCAAACACAAGTCAGCGTTGTTCGACAAAATTCTCACAAGTGTTAGATAACAGTAGATGGAAGCTAAACCTTAATCTACCCACTCTCCTTTGTGATACCACATCTGAACAAAGTGATGTATTTTGAAAAGACTTCTCAGTACCATTTATTTAGTGATTTATACTTTATTAGTTCTGTACATTTCTGGATGTTTTACTCAAGATAAAAAATTTCAAAACACACTTAAAATTTCTTAAGATGTAACATCATCATGACACTAAAGAGGCTTTAACAGTATTTTCAATATATAGTTTATAATCAAATTTTTTATCATTCCCAATTATTCGTGTTTTTGTATGTTTTCTTTGCCAATAGAAGTTAATCTGAAGGAAGTTTTTAATGGTCTTTCTAATAGCCACAGAGAGTAATAACCTCCAGAGTCTCACTTTAGAACCTTAACACAAAAAGCTGTTAACAAATGATCATAATAATAGATAGAATTATTACTGTTTCCAAACACAAGGATAATTTTTATATGTAGTTTAATCATCTGCTTTTCCTATGATATCTTTTTTAAGTTAAACATATTATGAAGTAAAAAGGTTATAAAAATCATAAACATCAGACCCGGAAAAGCCACAGTGGCGTTAAGTCAACCCATGGCTATTCTGTCTGAGGAACTGATAGAGCTGGACCTTTGGGATCATCAAATCTGCTGTTTGTTGTGAGCTGCATGATCATATGTATTCCATAGGTCAGGATCCACAGTAAAATTATAGATGTCACCAAGCCCATCCAAATTCCAGGAGTGAAGAAACCTGTACAGTCACTTGCATAGGAAAACTGGTTGTTTATAATGTTGAAGCCTTGAATCTGAAAATGAGGAAAGGTAGATAGATGAGTGCAATTAAGCATAGTCTTTACTTTCAGGATATATGTAGTTATTACAAAACCCCACATCTTTTAATTATCAATCATACTTTCTGCCCATTAAAAAAAAAAGTGAGAACAAAATTCTCTGCAAAACATTTTTCCAGATCTCCTTTTCCCACAGGAAATTTAAGATGTAGAATCCATTTTTTTTTGTAAAAAGCAGGTTCCCCACTTCAGAAATTTTTATTACTTTTAGAAATAAAGTCCCAGAGGGGACATGTGGTCAGTATTCTGCATTCACTGTATTCTGATCAGTATTCTGTATTCAGATAATCAGTATTATCAGTATTCACTGATCATTAGATCTATGACCACTTCAGAATCAGGAACTTAAAGCACTCAAAGGCATAAGAGTTAAGGCTCTTCAGATCACGAGATTTGTTGAAATAGTCTGAGAGTTTTAGCTCATAGCTCCTGGACTAACAAAATTCCTAGAACCTGCTTTAAAATGCATCTAATAAAGATGGCCTTTTTTGGCTGAGTTAATTAAGAATTACTATTTTCCATAAAATATTATCAAATTAAATTAAAAGAGGATTACTTTATTTGAATCACTTCTCTCACCCAGCAATAAGCAAGAAAGCAGAAGATCATGGATTTCTACTTTTATGTGTTCCCACACCATGATATTCCATGATTTACAATAAAGAAAATTGAAAGCTGGGGTTTATTTGTGGTAATAAAAGAGTTTGTACTTCCTAGGAAAGGCGTTGGTACAAACTGAACAAATCTACCATGCAACAAATACACCAGTAAACACTCTGGGTTTGCATTCAGCCATGGCTCAGGTCCCTAAAGTTTATGTAATATGTGTGCTATGAGCAATGCCTGTACCTTCCAGAATGGTGATTAATAAAAATAATGTTATGTGAGGAACTAAAAGCTCTTCAGATAATGTGGAGGTGAAGACAATTTTAACAATTCAACCTTTTAGAAGAATCTTTCCAAGTTAAATCATGGTAGCTAACTCACAAAGACTGTCTGCTTTCACCAAAGGTACCCAGAGTTCTGATTAAAGCAGGATTAGTGAACATAAGCTGCAGGGCTGGACAACTGTTTGCACAGCTTTAGAGAATACAAGACTGCAAAAGCCTTTTCTTGTTAAGCCACCGCTTTGACCAAAAGTGAGAATGTGAATAGGAGTCATGAATGTAGCCTGAAAGATTTATTGACAATAAAAACAGACAGAAGGTGATGATTTATGTCATTTGTGTTCCCAAAAATGGATTGAAATTCTGGAAAGCAATACACATTTCCTACCACATTTACAAGGACTCTCTGAAGTACTTAACAGGTATATTCAGTTTAGAAGCACTTTGCCATTCCTGATTTAGAGCCAGAAATATTGACATCTATTATTTCAATTCTACTGGTTTTATATATATTTTTTTTAAACAGCATTATGCTTATTGAACAATCTAGGTGAAAGATTCAATTGTACATTCCTAAAATGCTATATCTACTTTCAGGAAGGAGATGAAGAATATGCCAGGTTATTTTATCGTTTTTCTGAAGCTTTATCATTTCTGTGGGGGTGTTAGATACCAGGCAAAAAATGAGAATCTTAGCAGCATATATAGAAAAGTTAAAAATACTTACATGTGTTTCTCTAATATTTATAAATGCAAAAGTCATTTGTATACAGGCTTTTGTCCAGTAGAAGTTTTGATTTTAGTGTTTAGACCAGTCATTTGTCTTGATTATACAAGTCTGTATTTACTGTTGATTTTTAAATATTTTTGAATGTAGGTTTCTCATCATATGGCCTTTGACATAAACTTCAAGCAAAATATGCTGGGTTTATGGCTTGTAAGTGCACACCAAACTTCTAATTTCTGAACTTTGAAATATTTTAGCTATGAAGATTCAAAATATTCTTGATTTTCAAGCTTTTGGAAATTTTTGATGGGTTCCAAAGTACTTCTGTGTCACACATACTAAAGAAAAGCAGTGTTTTTGGTGGCAGCCTCCTCTTTAACTGCATTGACAAATATGAGATCCTCACACAAAAGGTATCATGGTAGAACAACCATTCCTGTAGCAACAACAACCAGCAAAACCCCCACCAAATCCAGAGCAATTTTGGTGCTCTGCAGAGGTGTGGTGACATCCTGGGCTGTGACCATGACTAGCCAGCGTCCCACAGAGCTTCTTTTAGATGGTAGTGAGTGAGGCAGCTCCAGATCTGAAGTTAAAGGCTACACCTGTTCAACCTTGCCTAGGAAAAAGCTATACAAGGCTTCCCTGTGCAGCTGCCATTGTCCCTTTTTTACTGTGATTCAACTTCCAGGACCCAGCCTTGCAAAGTGCAATTGTGCCAGTTTGATTTGCATTAGATCCTGGTTTCTAACTCATTGCGTAACATTGACATGAAAATCATGGTTCTCAGTTTCAGCAACAAGATATGCTGCTGGTTGCAACCACTAAGCACATCCCACATGCTTTTTTCACCATGCAATAGAGTTTGGGGGTTTCTAAATCTTATGCAATAACAAAGACTTATACTGAGATCACGTTTCACTATGTATCAGTGGATACCTGGAAAAGTATGATCTAGGTTGGATAGAATGTGGAAATGAGCCCAGAATGGGGATCTTCTCTTTTCTCACACCACAGAAGAGTATTAGACTGGGAGTTTTGAGGTTGTGTTCTATGCTTAAGATTTAATCAGAGTAAAAGCCCTTTCTCAAGAGGAACTGGAGTTTCTGTTGTCTGAACAGTGGAAGCAGCTGCTGTTCCAAATCAATAAGGAAGGTGGGAAACCACTACTTCTACTCTTGGTTAAGATCACAATGAAAGGATGGATTAAGGCCTGTTTAAGCTTTAAGAAGGCAGTAATATCAGTCCATATAGAAGCTGACAGAAAAGATAGGTGATAAGTACACACTTTGTAATTTCATAGGTCATGTCCTTTCATATCTTAGTGATGTGAAAGCCTAACTGCAACGAGTTTACTAGGCAAAGTACAGTTGTATGAACTATGGTATTTTCAGGCCTTTACAAAAACATGACATCATAAGGAACCTTCACAACATTGGTATGTATTGCAACATTGTTCCTCAAAAAATGGTGAGACTTGATACTGGAATTTGTGGGAAATAAATCTAAGCACTAATGCTCTTTCTGTGAGATTTCCATTGCTTAAGAAGAAATGCCAAGTCTGGAGTCAGATTATTGAGATTTGGTTTGTTATCAAAATTATGAATACAATTATATCAGCATTTGTATCCAGTTATCATGGAGCTAGCTCATGTTTGACAAATAGAGTACAATTTATAATTATTCCCATTATTTTCATGATCTCTTTAATTAAAGAGATCCCTTAGTACAATATTGTTTTAAGATATAAATGTTGTTATGCTTCTCTTAAGTCAAGAGCAAAGCTCAAAGTAGTAAAGGTGTTATCATCTACACCTCACATATGTAGTCTTAACTACTACTAAATATGCAAAAAAGCTATGTGTCATTCAAAAAAAGCCATCTGCTTTCCTTCTGGGTCATGCAGGAACCAGTACCGTTCCTGACCGAAGTCCAAGGAAAACCTCCCATTAAACCTAACTGTGCTGGGCTTTGTTTCTATCTGCAGGAGTACAGACGGTCCATGTCACCGAAAACAGCAGCCACACTAAGCTGTACTTCCCTAGGTAAACAAAGCGCCAAGAAATCAAATGAAAACAAAGTTAGCAGCATAAAGGCACCCACCTAAGAGGCCCCTGTTTCCAAGAGCAGCCCAATTCATTAAACAGGCATGAGGACTTAGCCATTCTTTGCCTGATTAAGCACATTTGGTTTAATTGGGTTTTCTTTCTGTGGACAACTTCATAGTTTTGTTTTTCAAAGCTGTGCTTTCATGTTTTCCTTGTTCAGCAACTGGCATCTTTTTTACCCCTCTACTGAATAGCTCACCTAGGGGAACAGCTTTTCTTTTATGTTTTCCCTCAGGCTGGAATGAAAGTAAAGGCATTATGAATGTTTGTCATTCACCTCCTACAATAGCAAGTAATAGTTCTTGGAGTTATCTCTGAAATGGCAACGCATACTCACTTGCAACTTGGAAATGAAAACATCCCAATTTTTTGCCTCAGTGTTGGATGGAACCAGCCTTGCAGGATAGAGATTGCTTGTTCCCACCAGCTGACAATGAAATGAATACTCTGCAGGGGCAGAGATGCCAGAAACATTAAATTTAGCTAACTTTTCTCCATCTTGTACAATCTCAACTAAATGTAAAGTGGACCATCTTCTAGCCGAGACTTCATAGAACTTGTTGGTCATTAAAAACCTAGGAACACAACAGAGGACAAAAACAAAAAGTCAAAAGGTTAAAAAGAAAAAATTAATATACATTTGGTAAAGTAACAGCTAAAGTAACAAATAAAGGTTCACTATTGCTGGCTGCAAACATCACAGCTGAAGATGACATGGCCTCCCACATCATTAAGATTGTTTTAAGTGAAGAGGTTCTGTGAATGTGTTTACTACTTAGGGTTTCACCTCACAAGCACAGCTTTCTATAGCTGTGGTAGGCAAGAAGCAAATGCAGTTTCATTCTTCACGGCCTCTGCCAGTGCTATATTTCATCAGTTACCAACAGCTTATAATAAATGGAGGCAAATCTGAGAAAGTGTCAGCAAGACTGCAGTGGCTCTGAATAAATATTTTATGGGATTTTTGGAAAATTGCTTTTATGATAGGTATAGGCATGGTAGCCATTCTAATTTATCATTGCAATTCTTTCTTGGCTCAAAAGCCTAAATGGCAATTTCCTTTGCAAAGGTCTGAATTTGGCGTAGGAGACAGAGCTCTCTCTCAACGGTGGGTCAGGAGGGATTGTCAGCTCTAGTTTCACAATTTGAAGTAGGCTAGGCACAAAAAACTATTTTCTTATTTTGAAAACATCTTTGTATGTGTGGTATTGCAGCAGTTTATAATAATGGAATTTATATTACTACCAATGCAGTCTGAACAGCTCCCAGCAGATATAACTGAGAACATCCAGACATCCAGAAGTACATTCTGATCCTTTACAGATCAGGACTATGTGCCACTCTTTACCACTTTTTATACAGTTACTTTTAAGCATTCAAGCTATTTCATAAGGAAATTATAAGCCTTCCCCCTTAGTGTACATTGTTTAATACTTTAACCCTTACTTGGTCTATGCATGTTTATCTCTACATAGTTTGCTAATGATTTCTTTTGATCATTGGTAAGCATGAAAGATTTAGAAATCTATTTATCAATAAGTAAGACTTGCTTCAAAATGAAATATTTTAATATGTCTATCCACAATGGGTAACACGGTATGTTGACTTTAAAATTTGAAGAAATAACTTAGATGCAATTATTATTGGTTCAAAAAAAAATAGTATAATCATCTTAAATGAGGCACAGTATAGACTATTTTATGTTCTATAGGGTATATGTATATAGAGAAAATATTCTCTCTGTAGAATATTGCTTGTTTGTTCAAATTAGTTACTGTCAATATTGTGTCATCCACACAGCATAGAATCTAAACATAAATTATACTTTAAAAAAAAAAATATTTATAATCAGTGGCTTTTGATTCATGTAAGTTCAGAAACCTCAAGAGTTTCAAAATGCTCAGAAGGAATTCCAGAATGCAGTGTCATTGAAGTGAGACAAGGATATTTTTTCTTATGGCATTCTTTATGTTTTAAGCCTGAACAGTTCTACCCATAAAACATTGAACTGCAAGCATCAGTGAAAAAGAAAAAAAAAAAAATTCCATCCAGTCCACATTTACAAATATATATAGAAAATATTCTATTCTTACATAGTTACAAAATTAAAATCTTGATATTATTGCTAGAAGAAAGGAACATTTTCCTGATGTACAGTATGATCTGAACAGAATTTCCATGGTGCCCTAGTAGCAATGCTGTAGGCACTTGCTGAAAACCAGTTAGAGAGAAGTTTACTTAAATGTGTATGACAACCACAGAGGCTGGGTGTGGTCTGTACTTTTGCTGATAGTATGAGAAAAGTGGTAAAGAAGTAAATTCCTTTTAAACTGACCAAATTATCAAAAAGTTTTAGAAGACCATGTATGTGAGTACACTCTAAAATTATTTTGAATGGAATGCTGTCTCTACACATTACACCAAAGACTAAAATGTTGTGTTACTTGCAGACTTATGAGAATTAACATTCTAATTGGTTAAGTAGTTGAGCACAGTTAACTTAGTAATGAAGGCTGTTATCCTTAGCATTTTTCCAAACAACTAACAGTGAATAGCCTCCAACAAGCGCACACTTAACTGATAATGAGTACAACTATAGTTCATTAAATTACAAGAAAAAAATGCATTCAAACAACAAAAATCTATAGAATTACTTAATTTAGTTTAACATTTTCTCAAATGAGTAGATGTCAAATAGGACATATAGCAAATTAATGATACAGAGCAGAGAGAGAACAAAGGTTTTATCTGCAGAACAGAAAGTACCTTGTATTCTTAAGGAAATGTTCGTGTTAAAGATTAGAGACAATTATGTACATTAGAGACATTATGTACTTTATGTATGGTGGCACAAAAAATTCCTGGTCATGGGCCAGGTTCCCTTTGTGACAGATAACTGTATGAACTCTGAATGCCACCACCACTGATCATGTCTCATGTGGCTAATCATTACAAGGAGAGGTATTTCTGAAGCAGAAGATAGCTAGAATTACGTTTCAAATATTCAAAGAGAAACACAACTGTTAAGCAAAATACTTAAAAACATATTTTTTGGGTCAGCTCTGTTCTGTTCTATACATTCAGCAACAACAGCAGTCAAGTATGTATCAATGTAAGTTTGGAATACTAATGTTCTGCACTCCCATTCACTTTGGCACTTTTTCCCAGAGGAAAATAAAGACAAGTGCTTGAATGGTTGGATCAGTTTAGGAGAGAACTGAGATGGTGCTTCTTCCAGCAAAGGACTACTGCCCACTGCTCCCACTCCTGCTGCAGCAGTGCCTTACTTTCCTAACACTATCACAACAACCCTCTACAACCACTCCCTTACAGCTCATCTCCCAGTGCAAGTGCAGGAGGATGAGTGAGACTGTGGCTCTTCTGGAGGGAGGAGAGGGAGGTGACAGCTGTGTGTGCACAGGATGAAGCAGCAGCTGCAGCTGTCAGCGGGAGGTGGGATGTGACCAGCTGCTCTGTACGTGGGCACAGACTGCTGTTGATAAGGGGGGCAGCCTTTGGATCCTACTCATGCTGCTGAAGGTATTGAAGAATAAACTCAGCTACTTGAACATGGTCCTCTATGGAGTCACTTTCAAGGTATGCTACCCTAGACTTAAATAAAAGGCCTTTACAGAGGCAAAAAGTGCATTTGTGGCTCTCAGCTCTGTTCCTTCCACCTCTCTGCCCTGTTTGTGTCCTGCTTGTTAAGGCAGACCATGATCTTACCACGGTGTAATCTTGAAAAAGAAATCAAATCAAAATGACCCAGAAGGGGAAAACAGAGGTTGCAACATATCGCTATGGATTTTAGAAGCTCTGGACAAGAGACATGCTGAGATACACAAGGTGAATATAAAGTGTTAGCAAATAATGAAAAAAGTCAATGGCTTGTTCTGGTTCTGTTCCATGTATCTTATTCTTTGCATTATATAGCATCTACTGCTGTATTATGGTAGCTAACAAAGGCCTAAAATGACACCACTGTCCCATCAAGTAACAATCCAACAGAAAACTAAAGATAATCAGGTGAGTCTTCAGAACTATTATTAATTTATAAAGGCTCTGAGGTGTTATGTGTTGATACCAGCCAGCAGTCAAGCACACATTTAGCTGTTTGCTCACTCCTCTTGTTCAACAGGACGGGGAGAGAATAGAAAGAAAAAAAAATGAGGAACTTGTGGGTCAAGATAAATATAGTTTAATAAACTAAAGGGAGAGGGTAAAAAAGCAGTCAGTCTCTATCTCCCACACACAGGCCAATGCATAGGTGAAGGTCTAAGAAATGGTTACCCTGGAAGCTACTCCCTACATTCTTCCTCTATTCAACTTTATATTTCTAAGCACCTGTGTCATAAATAAAAATTGATCAATTTAGACATTTTTGTGTTTATTTGCCCTGAAGGTCTATTAAAAACCTGGATCACACATGGCTCAGTGGAATAAATAAAATTCTCCTGCAAAACACAGCCAGCCTATGCTATTCTTATTTGCTTGGCATGAAAATATCCAGACCTTACCTGAGGTTTCTTTTAAAGTCCTCACCTATTGTGGAGCCTGAGTTTCTTATTCCAGCTTCAAGGGCTGTTTATGCATTTTGATATTTAGCTATAACATGTTCAAGCAGAAGCACAGTTCAAGAAAGACTCTGTGAATATTTCTGCCTCTACTACAACAGGCTCAAAGGATAGAAAAAAATTTCCTGAAAAAAAGGAAACATGAACCATTCACCTTTTGTACTGGCATTTTCATTTAAATTACAGTTTGTTTGCAGAGTTGCTTCAAATTTCTTCTCTTGAGATGCAACTCAGATTCATGACCAGTTAAATTTTTTATTCAATAATTAATTAAAATCATAAGTTTTTAATAAACAGACTACTAAACATAATTCTAAATAATCTTCACTAAATCCATATGTGCACTAACATCACATTTGATCTGCCAGTGTCAGAAAACAAAATCTAAGATAAATGTTTCAACTGCCAAAAGATTTTGTTCCTATAGTACTGTCTCAAGGTTTGCAATTTGCCATTGTACAGTTAAGTGAAGCCTGTTGACTATTAAAGGAAATGACACCTTTAAGATCTAGCTGTTAACTAGCTTTGAAGCACAGTGTGGTGCTCCATAGGATGCTTTACGATTTGTACTAATTTCTGGAACTGTAATTTTACTAGAAAGGATGATACTATACTAAGCATACCCATATTCAGGACAAATGTAGGAAACAACCACATTCATTCATACAGAAAGAGATTACAGCAGACCAGCCAAGATTTGTGCTAGGATATGCAAAGATAAAGAATGAGAATGAGAATCAAAGCAGTGTTTTGGAGGGCCTGTCTCTATCAGAGTGGGATAGGAGCACTAAAGAGCAGACAGAACATCAGGGCAGCACCAGAGAAAAATATATTTTAGGACTTGTAGTAAAAGGAAAAGCTTGAGTAGAGCCTTAGTTTGAGATCAGTATCTTTTGAATGGGATCCAAGGAAAATATTTTCTTAATTCCCCATAGTGTTTAGGGAAATACATGTCTATTTGATAATTTACATTACTGAGACCAAGGCATGCTTGACACCATCACCATGGACAAGTCCCAGGGATCCTATATGCTGCTAACTTCAATAGTCAAAAAAGTAAAATTACTATATTAACAGCAATCTTAACTGTACAGTATGTTCTCTTACAAAGCTCTAGCTGGTTGAGGGAGAAGGGAGATGTATGTCTGTTTTTTTGCCACCTGTTATGACCACTGATACTGACTCCAAGTGTCTCTATGCACTCTGAATATCACTCCAAACGCATCACTAACTCTCCTCAAGACAAGTTCTTCTGGGATCCTTTTACCTTAACACAGAATGTCTTTCTGTCTCAGTGTAAATAATGGTATTTATTCATTTGAGCATTCATCTGGACAGGCTGGATTGATGTGCCAGGGACAATGGTATGAGGTTCAACAATGTCAAGTCCTGCACTTGGGTCATAACAGCCCAGGCAGCACCACGGGCTGGGGACAGAGTGGCTGTGAAGATGCCTGGTGGAAAAGGACCTGGGAGTCCTGGTCAACAGCAGCTGAACATGGCCCTGCCTCTGCCCAGGTGGCCAGAAGGCTGATTCCATCCTGGCCAGTATCAGCAGTAGTGTGGGCAGTGACTGTCACCCTGCATCAGCACTGATGAGGTCGCACCTGGAATCCAGTGTTCAGTTCTGGGCCCCTCACTGACAGAAAGGCATTGAGGCACCAGAGCATGTCCAGGGAAGGGCAGCAGAGCTGTTGAAGGGGCTGGAGAACAAGTCCTGTGGCACAAGGAGTGGCTGAGGGAGCTGCAGGTGTTTAGCCTGGAGGTGAGGAAGCTCAGGGGGGACCTTATCAATCTTCCTCTCCCAAGAAGACAGAACAAGAGGAAATGGACTCAAATTGTGCCAGGGAGGTTTAGGTTGGATATTAGGAGAAATTTCTTCAGTTAAAGGGTTGCCAGGCCTTGGAAGAGGTTCCCCAGGCAAGTGGCTGAGTCTCCATCCTTAAAGATATTTAGAAGATGTTGCAATTAGGATATGATTTAGTGGTGGACTTGACAGCTCTGGGCTAAAGATTGGATTCAATGATCACAGAGACATTTTTAAATGTAAACAATTCTATGATTCTCCCTTTGATTTTTCTTCCCTGGTCTTCCAATTCCCTAGCTTTTCTTCCCTATTGCCTTGGTAGGAGAAATATGGTCTTGTCACCATCTATGGGGCAGTAAAGACTTTAAAACTTTTTGCACCTCTCATTAACCACAAGCTAGTACTGACAGTGCACTGGCAATCCACATTAGGACACAATACAGCCCAGGCCATGCAGGTAGATTTCAACCCCTCAAAGTCTTTGCAAATCACAGTAAGATTTACCTGAGAGTACTGTTAAATGATCCCATTAGTAAAACAGGAAACTGCATATACCAGTACCTTACAATATGGATGTTTGCCTACAATATTTTTTCAAAACTTTACCTGAGCATAATAATATATTTTCTGTACAAAGACTGTACTATTGTTTTCCTGCATCATGACTCTTCAGAAGAGAAAGCAAATAATAAAAAATATTTTTAATTAACTTCCTCCCTATTTTTGTTCCTAATTTATTAACAGGTATTGTAAACCACAAAAGATCTATTTAAAATAAATCGTAAGTTACCTTATCTCCAGGCTGCTGATTCCATTCACTGGATTTGTGTATTTTAATGACAATCTAAGAATAAGAAACAGATTTTTAATGTTAGAGTAGTCAGCTTTAATTAGATCATTGTGACATTTCAATTTGAGGGATATATTGTAAATCAGTAGACAATTACAAAAGTCATATAGCAAAGGTTCAGTACATAGAAAAATATGACTAAATATTTCCAGGGTTTTATTTACCCAAGAGCAGGTGCTTCAAAGTAAAGAAAACAGAGATCATGTTTCATTAATGTACTTCTAGCTGAGTAACCTTGTAACTGGCAATACTCCCCTTCAAGGGAATGAAATTATGGTCTCATTAATGCCAGTGGAGATTTTTGTGATTGTGAGATCAGGCACAGGGAAACCTCTTTGGACCAAATACAAACAAACAAAGAAGTAGGGAACATAAGAAGAAAAAAATCGTGACAATAACAGGCCTTGTCTGAACAGTTTTTGTGGTCTTAATTTTTTCCTCTAAGAATACATTTTTCTAAATTTTTGGATGCTTTAGAAGAAGAAAATTAACACTGATTTTGCACTGTAATATTTCTGAAAATTTTCAAAATTACATATATTATGACATTAAATTTCTTATGCTACTCACGTTGTGTTGCTGTCTGAGCACTCAGAGGCAGAAATATCCACATTCTGTGTTAAAAATGTTGCATTTGTCAAATCTATTAAAACTGAACTGTTGGCTTTGAGGCTAAAATTACTAGCATAGAAAAGGATGCATGTGTAATTTCCAGTGGTTACATTCAGAGGAGGATATGATGAACTTTCTTCTTCTTCAGCAGCCATTAATTGTCGTCTCAATTCTGCCACCACATCAGTTCTTCTAGAATTCTGGAATAAAAACACATTAACGATTCATGCCATTGTAAGAGTCATTTCAGTTGAAAACAGACCTTCACCCTTCTGTACCATGAGCCCCTGTTCTTCCTGAATCCTTAATCAACAACCTCAACAGTTGTTACTGTCTGTCTATTTACCTGGTGGTGTGGAGGCTAATGAAGCAATGTTAACCTCGGTTCCCATGGCCAGGTGTCCACATGTGAAAATAAGCACCACTGATACTAGGCAAATGAATGTAAAACAATATTGGTAGTGTTGCCTTAAGATGGTAGTATTCATTTCTGCTAACAGGTAGAAGAATTTTTTTTCCCAGAAGAAAATACTGAAATAAATTAGCTTTTTTCTGCAATAACATCATGAGAAAATTTCAACTTGCTAGTTCAGTAACACTCTCCCCTTAAGTAACAGTTTTTTTCAGTCTTCATTTTAACAAGCACGAGGGCAGTCTACTTAGCTACAGCAAGCTTATTTTTAGACTTTTCTGAGGGCTTCTGAAAAAAGATCTTTGCTCATTTGGCTGATGTGATGAACATCAGCCTATCTGCTTTTAGGATATTTACAGGAATATTTAGGATATTTCCAGGAATTCCATTTAGTAGGTAATGCTTTTAAAAAATGTGCTTGGGGCATCTTTGGTAAAGCAGCCCCACAGATATCAACAGTTAAAGCAACCTTATCTTATTACACAACAAATTTATTTTGTTCTTATCTTACTCCTCTCTTCTTACTCTATTCATAGCTGGGATATTGCACCTATTTTTGAGTCCTGTGTCAGCTTTACAACTTTGTATACTATAAGTGGCCTCTAGCCTTGTATAACTTTATGGTACAAGAAACGAAAGGCATCACAAGGGTTACAAGGATTACCAGAACTGTAATTATGTGGAGCTATTGCCTAGAACTACTTTCATGGGTTTAAAGACAGTCAAGGACCATTTTCTAGTCTGAAACAGAGATTATAATATCGCTTTATCACCTGCCTGTGGAGAGGAGCCCCAGAAGATTTTGTCACGTGAATGGCTGCTCTGTAAACACTATTGGCCATCTGTTATTTACAGCTTGTCTTTGCAGGTACCTCATTCTATCAGTTAAGCAGAATTGGCTGCATTAAACCCTTTGACTAAATGCTCCAGTGAGGAAGGCAATCTTCCCCTTCCATACATGCATATTTTATTAATTTCTTTTTAATTCAGAGTAGTGCCTTTTCAAATATATCAGAACAAGCATTATTTTAAATGAATACCATGTTCTTTAAAAGAAGAGGGTACAACAAAAGAAAATATTCAGCTTTTGATATAAAACTTTAAATCTTTCCTTAGACTTCCCTGAAATGTAATCATTTTATTTCAAACTGAGAGGAAAAGCTGAAGTCTAAATTATATCCTGTCTAACTATTGACTTTACTATGTGGGGCCCATGTATCATCAAAAGAGGGCTTTAAAAACCACCTGCTAAGAGCTGAAAACAATGATACATTGGATACTGTGACTGCGATAACTTTTGGGATTAGGTCAAAGAACCTTAAAATAAAAAGAAAGCTATTAAAATATAATTATTATTTCTATTGCTCTCTAAGCAGTACTTTGCCATGAGACTCTTACATACAGATTCCCTTGTCTCTCTCAGAAAGCATATGAACCAAGAGAGTGTAAACCTGGAAAGAAGGGCTTTCAGAGGCAAAGAAATCCACTAGTTTGATAGGAATAGGCAGATCCATCAGGTCAATGTATGACTCCAAGGTTGGTGTCAGTGGAAAAAATTTGCATTTGTTGACCATGGGATAATGTACTCAACATGTGGTCCACTGACACTTGACAGGATGCACCAGTCTCAGAGGGGAAGAAGAACTCTAGCCCAGGAGCTAGTGGGGCTTGATGACAAAGCTTTAAATGAGCTTGGAAGGGGGAAAGGAACAAAACCAGGCTGTCCAGTGATGAGCAATGAGATGGTGAGCCAAAACTTGGGAAAATGAGCATTAATGGGATCCCTCAATCTGCTTCCAACTCAGATATTCTGTGATTCAGTGAATTAAGCATGCTTGAAATCAGAGAGGGATATTTAAAAATTTAGTCTTATTTTAGTCTTTAGTCTTTAGGCTGAAAGGAGGATCTCTGAAACAGCCCAGCTTGGGACCCACTGGAGACCTGAGGACAGCAGTCGCTCCTTCCAGGTAACTCCAGTGGGAAGCTGAGAGCCTCCCCACTATGTCCCTGTTTCTCTGTTTAAGGAACATTTTCTTTTTCTTTTGTTGGTTTTTCTTTTTGCTGCACAAACATGAGCTTACCGAATCAAAATCGTTCTCTGATGTCATATATTTCATGCTAAACTATAAATTGCAGGACACTTCCTTGACAAAAGGATTATATTTACACTGAATTACTATAAATCAAATTAGACTATTTAGGAACAATACATTGTGAAAGTGTTGCCAATCATTACACCGTATTTAATTCTCAGTTCAGTGTGCTCCTCTCCTTCACCTAATCTGAACTGAGGGATGTGTGAATCACTGTCTTATTCTCTGAATTTATTAATGGCATTTTTGATCTCAGTCATGCAGTAAACAACAGCAACACCTGATTAAATAAGGTACAGAAAACAAAGAATTTACATTTTCCTATACCACAATGGAATGTTGTAATTACTAACTGAACCTGCAATAGTGGTAGCCTGAACAAACTTCTTCCCTTTGATCTGGTTTTCAAGCCTCGTAATTCAGAATTTCTCTTGAAAACAAGAAAGGAAGCTGATATGGGAGCATTTTGATACACTAACATGCAAATCCTTTTCAAAGCAAACAGACCTTACATCCAAAATTACTTGTTTTTGTTGTTGTTCCACAATTTTGTTGCCTCTTCCAACACAAAGTGGCTAGATACAAGAAAAAAGATTTGGGGCCATTTTATACATTTGAAATCACAAATTAGTTGAAAACAAATATAAATCAAATAATTGCAAACACATATGAGAACAATACAAAATACTGTGAAAATGGAACTTCCACTTGCTGAAATGATGAATAACAATGAACAACATAAACAGATTATATTTTACACTGTTTACAACATGGCATTTTTGAATATCAGTTCAATAGATGCTTGTGTCTTCTGTTTCAATCTTTTATTTTTTGACTTCTTACTACTGTGTTAAAGTGTTCACATAATGAATAAGAAAACTGTCCTGGTGGTGTTTGCTGCTCCTTTTCATTTCTAACAGCATAGACTTATGCTGCTCTTATTGAAAAGGTATTTCTGTATTCTCAAGGAGGGGGGTGAATAGGCAGAAGGGTGTCTTTTTAGGGTCCCTATCTCTTTTTAGTCTGTATCTTAGTTTAGTCCATACATCCATACTACATTGTACACTACAGTGTGTTCTCTGTATATACCTGACTTGGATGGCAAATGGCAATTTTTTCAATTATAGTCATAACCTATTTAAGCCAGTTGTTAGTATTGAAAAATTACATAAGAATCCTAGCTTCTACTAAATAAAAAAAGTGCAGTATTAGAGACACATATTTCTTACTAGCATTGCACAGCATAGCACAAATGAAGAAAAGAACCTTAAAATATTTAGGGAATGTATGTAGAGACAAGTTCAAAATACATTGTAAAAATGAGGACAAAGAATATTTTTGGATCACATTTGATGCCCTAAATCATGAAGTGTAAAGTCCAAGGAAGGGAGGGCAGGTGCTGCAACTGCTACAATAACACAACAAAGACAAATAGCTTTTATCTGAACTGGATTTTGGGTTTGGTAGATGGAACTGCATCCACATATCATGTACCAACTGTAATTCTTTTCACAGGATACTGAAAGAATTGTATGCTTTCATTTTCTCAATTTGCTTTAACAGGGACCATTGAAATCTTTTTTATTTTTGCAAGATGCCCCTTAAGAAAATGACACTAGGAGGGGTACTGCAAATTGGCAGATCATGCTTCTTTCTGGGTTTGGCTGTGGCATATCAGAAGCCTCTCAGCATTCACATCCCAGCCAAGTATCAGCACATTTCAAATGCTATTTCTGAAATTATCATTTCAATATTCCTTCCCACACAAACAGAGCAGTTTTCCTCCATGCTTTCTATGGGATATGGCCTCAAGGTCTCACTATGGATAGCACCACCACTTCTGCTAGTACCTAATTTTCCTGAAGGATAGTGTATCATGAATCTGTGATGCAGGCAATCTCACTGCTAAAGGTCAAAAATTTCAAAGGCAAGCATTTGAAATTGGTATAACTGTAAAAATGTTCTTTGTGGTGTCAAATTTACAAAATCACAAATGCAGCAAACAGAAATATATTTGATTGGACCTTATTCTTTCACCTGTCAGTGGAAGACTGTAGCATAACAGTATTTTAAGCTGTCAAAATCTAGAACATTAAGCAGAGTTACCAATTATCTCTATTTCTGAAAGTTTTTACTGTTTACATTTTTATGATTTCTAACATTTTGGGATTTTGTTTTTTAATTTCCCTCTAGGCTGACTTGTGGCTGCCATAGATCTGGAAGTGTTTAAGGTCAGGGTGGATAGGGCTTAGAGCAACCTGGTCTATTTGAAGGTGTCTCTGCTCATGGCATGGGGATTGGAACTGGGTGATCTTTAGAATCCTTTCCAACCCTATTTTATGTATTTGTACTGCAACTGTAAGCCTAAACAGGACATCAGAATAAATTTCAATGGCATATTGATATTTTTCCCAGAAGAATCCTTGACCTCTGTTTCCCATCTCTGTTATTACTCTGATGAAGCAGGTAAAAAAGAATGCACAGAAATGTGCATTAATTTATTAACAGTGATTATGATCATTTTAGTGCCTTGCATATATGACCAACCTTACTGCCTCACATTAGTATCTAATGGCTTCCCTGTTGAGCCATGGACACTTCTACCAGCAAGCCAAATGGCTTGGCAACTGTGACACTCAGCTTGTACCTGATGCTCTGCATCACTCAGAGATTTTCACAAAAACAAGGCTGGGAC